GGCAGTTGGATGTTGGAATACATCGGGTAAGAGTGAAAGAAAAAAAAAAAAGAGTTATTTAACTTTTCCAATTCCTGATCCTCCACGGACGGGTTCGTTGTTGGATTACCAACTTGAAGAGGGAGGATTTGCCATCAAACTTCTGGCCAGAGAAAAAACACGTAATATGTAGCCAACATTTGGAAGAAGAATGTTTTCAAGATGACTTGGATAATAGCGCGTTGTGACAAACACCAGATACAGCACTGGGACTTGATCAACAGCCAATACCGTACCGTGGCGTCACAAACCAGTAGGTGGCAGTAGTGGTCTTTGACAAACTCCAGTAAAGCACATTCAAATGAAAATTACTCTGAATTAAAAACACTTATTTATTGAAAAGTAGGTAATAATTTCATACTTTAAGTACTTTCACAACTTTGTATTCTGAATGTGACCAGACTTTTCCTTCAACTCCAACATTCTGCTTTTTAAGGGCAACTTTTCCATTTTTCTGAACTGGTAACTGGAGTTTAACAGTTTTCTCTTTGCAGACCAAACATGTCTGACACTCTGAGCCTCTCATCTGCAACAGAACGGTCCAATGACCAATGAAGGCCTGAAATAAGAATTGCATTACTAGCAGTGGCGCTGATAGAGGCCAGGGATTGGCTGCTGATTGGCTGGATGGGAGCAAATTAAACGGTGGAAACATAAACCTTTGACTCTACTGCAGCCTTTTAGCACATGGATTATTTGACTCTGTTTTGACGTGTTTAGCGTTTCACATCGCCGTCTCAGGTTGAATAAAGCTCTTCCTCTTGTTTTCCGAACATGAAGAAATCTTTTCTATCTGCTCTCGCCTTCCCAGAGCATCCACCCTCTCCGTCTCCTCTTTAATGCCTTCTCTGAAATCATAAAAACCCTTCAGCCATGTCCTCTTTCTCTAAAGCGAATTTAATTCTAGGCAGAGAGAGATGCGCTTTTCATCAGGTAATGATGGACGCTGTTCATCATGTGAGGGAAATGTGCAAGCCGAGCAAATCCACAACTAATTATTTTGCAAGCATAAGTAATGAAAAGAGGCTTTTCTGAGTGTGAGCCGACAGCAGCTGATATCCCATGAGTCAGGAGAGAGGAATTAATAACCAGGCTGGAAAAAAATCCCTCTCTGTACTTTGAAACGTTGCAGCTGAGGATGCAAACCGCAGTTAGTACTATTCTGTAGCCTGAGACCAGATAACGACTCGGTACCAATTCAATTTCAATTTAGTTTATATAGCGCCAAATCACAACACGTGTCATCTCAAGGCACTTTATAATTAAACCAGATCATACAGTCAAATTCATTCAATGTTTTCTAACTGAGAAAAAAACAACTCATTGCATCGACTCATTGACTCAAAGGCAAACCCTCATACTAAGCATGCTTATAGCGATAATTGAGAGGAAAAACTCCCTTTTAACAGGAAGAAACCTGCAGCAGAACCAGACTCAGTGTGAGCGGCCATCTGCTGAGGCCGACAGAAGAAGACAGAAGCAGAGATACAAAAAGCAGCTGTAAACCAGCTCCACACACGGCCCCGTCCAGGAAACACCCAGCCAGGCAGACGTGCTCTGAGCCAGCTCCCATGTCAGAGGATGGAAGAGAGCACATCCAGTCAGTCACAGTCAGAGAAACAGGACTACACTGAAAAACAACCCAATCTCCAACATCTATAAACAAAGATGTTGATGGCAGCAGCACAGCTGATATTTCTCTCCAGGATGATGTCACAGTCAATCAGGAACAGACCAGATGAAGCTACCAGCAGGCCTTGTTTTCCAAACAGGTCCCGTAGTTAATGTTGCATTTTACCAAAAACTGCTCTGGAGTTTTCAGACCCTTGAAATGGTTTAAAGGTCTTTTGACGCTAAAAACACAAACATCCATGTTCTTCCTAAGGGGACTTTCAGCAGAACCTTCTGGACTGACTGAGAGTCTCCACCCACCAAAGTTTTTTTTTTTTTGCAATGCCTGTAATCCAGGTGTCAGCTACTCCAGAGCCACGTGTCTCTTTAATGCCCCCCCTTGCATCTACCTTGAGCATTTTCAAAAAAGGTATGAAAATGAGAAAAGATGGATTTTTTTGTTTGTTTTAATATGATGTGCAGGAGGGCAAACAGACATTCATTGTGTTTTCCAATTCTGTAAAAATGTGTATGATAAATACATTTAAACAATAAAGGTAAACATTTCTGTCAACAAAGATTTATGTCATAGCCTGCGGCACGGTGCTGTGCGGTGCCAGGCTAATGTCTAGATTTGGTTGAAAAGTAAAAGGTGAAAAGTCATGATTTTCAGATTGTTAAAAAGGCGTTAAAAGCTGGCTTTGCAACGCCTCTTCAACATTGATTATTGGAGTATAGAGGGAGAAAAATCAGAGCAACAAAACACAGCCCAGTTTTAAACAACTATTTCTAGGCTTAATCAAGACTATGATGGCCCGACCAGATTTGAAATGATGTGTTTTGGGGGAAAGAAGAACGGACCAAAGGCTTTTCCAGGGAAGGCATGTTAAATATGCAGCTGACCACCATTTTGGGAGTGAGAAAAAAAGTGCGATTGCAGAACTTCTGGATAAATAAGAGCAGAAATAAATTGAAGAAGTGGATTGCATCTCTAAACTCCACTGCTGCTGCTAGTTTTGCTGCAAGCATAGAAAACCGTTCACAGATCGAACAGGTAGTGCTCTGATGCAGGTATGTGAACTTTCTTTCATTTTTTTCCCCAAATCCTCAAAATAAAAATAACAAAAATCTAAAATAAAAATAAAAAATCAGATTTCTTTATTATGTTTCTATAGTTTCATCAATGCTACAAAACCTAATACATTAATATTTGAATGGAATTTAAACTTAAAGCACCAAATATCATGCAGCAGAGTAGTCACATGATGTGAAATTTATTTCTTGATAAATATTAATCATAAATGCTTTTTACATATTTAATCCCACATAGTCCTTTTTATTGTGGGCTAATACGCTTAGAGCCCATGTTGCCATATGAGGCTTATACTGTAAAAAACTTTTTACATTTTTGCGTGTCCAGACAGATTTGTTTTATGCTCCAATATGGCTCTTTGAACAGTTTGGGTTGCCGACCCCTGCCTTAACGGAGGGAAATGTCTTACAGTACATCAATACAATTCCAGATAGTGGCCGTTTCCCAATATGTGTACTTGTGCGTTCTCATGTGCTCGAAAAACATTATCAGCCTCAGCCCTAGCACTGTTCCAATTCACAAGAACAAGAACAGTTTAAGTCCCCAGATGTTCTTTTCGCCCCTCCATTTTTACCCAGGATGCATCAGCGCAGACTTGTCCATTCTTGAGACTGACAGCTGTCCCAGCATGCACTGCAGTAGCAGCAGGGTCCAGGTTAGGGCTCACAGAGCTCAGAGTATTAAGTTAAAAATTCTCTTTTCTGTTGCCGTAGTTCTATAAAAGTATGTTTAAAGTCGTAGGAAAGTCATATTCAAATTTCAAATAATTCTGGCTTAAACATGTATATAAATGTTAAAAAAAAACAAGCTCACAACCAAGCTTGCTTGTGAACCTTCCGCCATGACAATGCCGCCCCCTTGATAAACGACCAATCATATTAACTGTATTCACTAGTGTAAAGTCAGGCATAACTAGGGGAGAATTTGGAAATGCAAAGGTTGGAACAGCCAATTCTCTAAAGATAATTTGAGGCGAAAGCATACCTTTAAGCCTCACTATATGGCCTATTTACTGATATAGTGCATGATTTAAAAAAAATGATCTGATGATGAGAGGACTGTGGCAACCAGCAGACCTCCGAGGCTAACGGCAGCCAGGGCTAACTTTAGGCGGTCTGCGGCAGCCCTCTCTCTGCATAGGCTCTGATGGAGGTTTTTTGTTTTATTTGGCAAAATGTTCATGTGATTTATGTTTATCTGACTGTGTTCATTATTATTCCCCCACTAAATGAAACAGTAAGAAATTATTATTATCTAGAAACCATTAATAACAGGAGGTGAAATGCAGCTCCAGATAAGCCCAGGGTGTTGTAACGTCATGAGTACGCTTCTGTTCCAATTGACCAGTGTGGCCAACTCCTCAGTAAGGAAAGTAGCTATTGGCAGTGCTAAAAGTCGCTAAATGACGTAATCGCTTAATTTGCATAATCTGCCACAGGAAGTGATGTGCATGTTATTGATGCTGTGGGAAAAATAATGTCGGTACAGAAAGACAAAAAAAGTGAGTAAAAATACTATATAATAGTGTTTCTACTCACACAATGGACAAGGTGATTAAGTGACTGACTGTGGCTGTGTGAATCAAATGCTGTTATTTATTTAAGATAAAATATTTCAAATTCAGTTATTTATTTTCGACCAAATAACATTTTACATTTACATCCCGCTCGCTCCCGCCTTGAATGTAAGTCAGGGTGGAGCGGCACCGCGTGATCAATTTGC